AACTATGAACATGGAGAACGCCATATTCATATATTGATTGCTTCTACCTAAGAAACGAGTATATGATGGATGAATCTCGTTGTTCCAAATAACAAATGTGGAGATTGGATATCGACAAGAACATTTCTCAAATCTCATGTTCGGATGTGGGGCAGATGTGTTCACAACGTCAGAGAATTCAGTTTAGAAGTGAAGGTGACACAGCCAATGATAATGAAAAAAAAAATTAAAAAGACTGATCATCCGATGAAAGAAGAAGTCCATGAACATCTCGACAAGGAAAAAAGAAACTTTGATGAATCTAGCATCGGCAATTACTTGGTACCGTTGTGTTGACATGCCGTCAATTGAAAGGGAATACTATTGAAATCATTAAGAACGGGAGAGTGAGAGAGCAAGTTGAAGTAGAGAAAGGAAGTACAAGCATGTTCTATCAGCGGGAAGTATAAACTGGTATAATAGATTGAATGGATGAAATGAAAAATGTGTTAACATAGTACTCAAGTAACATTTTTGACTTCGAGCTATTCAAGCCATTCTCAGAAATCAGAACCGATGTTTCTTTTCCGCACAATTCAATTGAACAGTAACGACCTGACTCCGGAGCGGGTGTAATTCTATTTTTCATACAACTAACTTGGAAAATTACCGCAGAAAAAAACAAATCAAAGGAGATCACAAGGAAAACAAAGACAGACATTGTTAATTCAAGGAAAATATCCCGAGTTTCCTCTTCTACGTTCTTTTGACATACTTCATCTACTCTACACGACATCCTCTGAGGAAAGATACAATTGATAGAAACGGTTCATAATTAGTTAATCTGCTTGCTCTGGTAATAAGCCGCAATCAAAACAGGAACCGACTTAACGAAACTAATAACTAACAGAAAAGAAGGTATCAATCGATAGATCTCTTAGAACTAAGAAAGTAGAAGAAAATAGAAAGAAAAACGGAATGGTCAAACTCCATGATGTAAACTACGCGAGAAGAAATGTACGCAAGAAATTCTTATACTATGGAATATCATAAAAATATTTTATTTTATTAAGTGAACAACGATATAAGTGTATGAAAATGAAAACCATAGAACCTTGACAGAGTGAGAATAAATACAAGAACACGTAAGTATACCTAAGAAAACAGAACGACATTCAACGAATAAATATAAATATGAATGTAATGGAGCTATAATACTTGCGAATTAATGATTTTCATAATTTGACTTCCTTCAATCAATATTAGAAGTAGTATTATATATATACATTTATACTTCTATAAAACCGGTAGAAAAAGAATTAAGCTAACATGCTAACATGTATTGAGTTGAGATATGGAATTTAGTAATGAAGATCCAACAGGAGTAAAAGCAGAATTGTTCGTTGATGCAGTAGAAGGTATTTGAAAACCATTGGTCATAGTGGATAGTAGACAGTTCATTGTTGCCAAATATGAATTACCATTTGTAGCAAGACGATCTAATGCTAACAAAGCATTTGTTAAGTCTAATGCTGAAGGGGATGTTGTACTTATCTGGAATATAATCGTATTCACTGATCATGTTTTGGATGAACTTACAGGTGTTGTTGCTTCAGGTACAGAAGTTAAGAGTGGTTGCATCAGAGAAGATGTATTTAATCCTAATGAAAGCGGAGTCACCATGTTGCGTTCGACAGATGCCATGAATTGCTGGGGGTAAGGCGTATGAAGACGCATATGAACTTCAATTTCAGTCTTCTTCTTTGAGTAGTAGGGGCAGAAGGCACATTTATATGACAGAAAAGTTCTCGGAACTTGATGTCCTTCTTCATGACGTCTCATTTGATCGTCGCTGCTCGTTTGATAAGGGCATTTGAGGCAATTCCTTTCAAAATCTTCTTCTATTTCTAGTTGGCGCTCAGTTTCAGGCGAGCTATCAGAGCTGGAACCTGTAGGAGACAAGTCTTCCATAGATGTTACGGATGCTGTCATGGTCTTTCCGCGATTGTAAATAGGAGTGATGTGAACGATGAGATCTCCAGAGTTGCAGTTTTCAGCTTTAGCATGAGCTAAGGCAGCATCAATATTAATGAATTGGTTTCCACAACGGCACTCATAAGGTAAGACATTATGCACATTATGCAAATGGTTCAGCATAACTGATAGACCATCCTATAAATCAAATTTGTAATTTTTCAACTTCACAGAGCAATGCGTAGCATTGTAAAAGAATTACTCACCTGTTCAAACAAGCACAGGACACATCGATATGATAATGGAGACTTTGCAACAGGTTCGGGACGGAGAATAGTTGAACTATTAGCCGAAGATGTTGAAGTTGAACTACTGTCTGATGTAGTAGGGCTGGGCTGACGTTGTCGATCAGGCTTTTCACAAGCGAATACTTTTGGTTTATCTTCTTCAGCTCTATTAACTAGATTTGTAGTTGATGGATCAAAAGTTTTCGAACGGCTGTACTTGGAAACAACGCGAATGCCGTGTGTTTCTGCAAAAGGAAGAAAAAAGTTAACTGAGCGATATATTAATTTTTTCATACTTGCTACGTGACGGATCAAATCAGCTTTCCATTTGCTGGTCCGGGAACAGTAACGGCATTTGAAAGGACGTTCAGAGGTATGGACTCGTTTATGTCTTATCATTTCGGAAACCCATTTTCCTTGATATCCGCAAGTACTGCATGTACGTGTTGATACATCTGGATCTTTCTCCATTCTCTGCAAGTTACTAGTTGAACTTTTTTCTCTTTTTTTTTATGTTTCGTAAGCATCTGTTTTCTTTTGCGAAATATCGTTTATAAGTTGCGAATTCAACTGATTCCGGGTCAATTTCCTGATTCAACGGTTTGTTTGCTAAGATATTGCAACTGAAGAAGACAACTTCAACGCCTGGGAGGTCGTTCTTTCGTGCCTGGCAGCGCCAAAAGTACTTCCCTGGACGACTAAGTTTGTGTCAACAAAAGGTTGTGTGCCGGTTCAAGAGTCGGCACATCACATACACGATCTCATACAATAATCAATTGGCTTTCATTGCTTAGCAAGCTTCAGGGAAATATTGCACTTTCAAACTTTTTCATTGTCAAACAGACCAACCTTCATTTCCAGTTCATCATCAGGACCTTCAATTGCTTCTTGTTCAGATAAATATCTTTTTTGATATGGTTCGCGGCCATCATCAGCTCTGAAATTGCATTCGAACATTAAACAATTCCAATATAAAATGATACCTGCGAGCAACCAAACCATCTAACGTATTAGCGGGATTAGCTACTTCGCCACGTCTCCTTTTCCGAATTGCGCAATCAGAGGACGTAGGAGATGGCTGAAATTAATAGTTCAAACCTGAAAAAAAAACTATCCGTACCTGAGTAGACGACTTAGGGGATCCTGCTTGCAAAGCGTTTATTCCTGGCATATAATCAACATCACATCCGATTTTGAATGCTCCAGACAAGAAGGATGTCAAATCGAAACCAGGATTACTAGTTGCAGAAGCAACACACGAATCACCAACTTCGTGCATTGATTCACTGAAAAGAAAAGATAGAAACTCTTCAAAATTCGAAGATATATTGAGGGTGTAAGATGAACAAAGTTTCAGGAGAGGCTGAATGAGAAGAACAAAATGACAAATACTGAATGGCAAAGCCAGAGAACTTCCGAGATAACAATGATCGTAACACTATGTTTCAAGCGAGTTAGACGTTACAGGCAGCTATGATAGAATATACAAGAGATGAGAACAGATGAGACAGATGAAGAACTTTTGAACGAATGAAAGATTGATGGATGTCCTAAAGATATCTTAATCTGTTCGAAGGTAGTGTCGAAGGCACTGTGCCGACCGCTCGGTATGGCTCCAGTTTTCTGAACTGCTGTTGCTGGTAGTTGAGATGGTTTTTGGGGTGGAGGCTAAGGGTGTATGTGCATGGTGTCGGTGTGTATACGTTTGTCTGTACCCTCTACATTTTGATTACGAAAGAATACCATCTCTGAGCTATCTGTATGCGTTGAACTCTCCCCGTACGTACTGTTCTCTGCAGTTTCCTCGAAATCGTCAGCAGGTCAGTGCCTGTCGGCTCCAGCCACCCCATGTTTACTCTCGTACAGCGTGGCGACGATTGCAGCGACATCGTCGGATCGGTCTGGGACATCCACCAAGATTTTAGAGATGCTCAGTTTCACGTCTTCTGAATAGTGAGCTATTCGAGGATGAAGATAGCTTCACTTCCAAGTTTGGATACATGATGCCACATGGGTGAATATTACACTGTTCTTTTCTGACCGCTATACGTTGAACTCCAGTATGGTAAGAGCGACAGGCAAACATCTCCGAAAATACTTCCGGGCTGAGACATAAGATCGAAAAGCAGAGCTGAGAGCCAACTTGTACACATATCGAAGATGATCAAGATGTTGGTGAATACCATGTAACATTAGGAGAATGTTAGATGTACAACATCAAAAGTTTTCTGACAGTAAACTTGACTGACTAAATACCATCTCATAAACAAAGCAATCGTGGATGAAGACAAATTTGAAGACAAAGCTTGCAGGTGAGATAATCGAAGAAGAAAAAAAACAAGAAACGAAAAGATAAGCAACTGCCGCTCATGAAACGGATAAAGAGTGGATGAATGATTTGGAAGCGCAACGATTATGAAACATAACCATAATGAAGAGAGCGTTCAAAGATACTATCAAACTTATGAAATACCTGTTTTTTCGCAACTGACAAGATATCAAAAGTCTCACTGATGTAATCAGTTGTTGGAAAGACGTAAAGAGTAAGACTTTCATGAATATCTTCGCGAACGATTTCACGTTCCTGGTTGGTAGTGACCATCTCAAGAAGACACGGATGAGAAAATGTTTTTTTTCTTTTCACAAGCTTATCAGCGGAAAAGCAAATGATATGCTGTATGGACCATCAGCATAACTGAGTTTGTTTCCCTCATGCTTCCCTCCGCTTTTTAAGCACTTTTCATTGTTCCGCGCCCGAGGGCACATAGATGTCAAATTAAACAAGCCCGTTCATGGTCATTTGCCCATTCACATCTTCACAAAGCTATAATAGTTCGAACTAATGGGATATGCGTATTAGTTCCTCACTAAATCATATTTGCACAATTTCCATTTGAAGAACATTTCTTGTGAATCAAAAAAAGGCGTTTTCATTAAAACTGATAAAAGGACAATGCATAAAGTTACAATGCTTGGAACTAAGTGGCACGGCGTCCGGAAGAAACTGATAAAGAAAGCTTATGATTATGCTATTCCATTTGAACACTCCAATAATGCTTAACATCATTACTATATCCGAAAATAAGGAACGACCTATTGAAAGTTATCTTCAGTCTACTCTGTTTCTGTTTCAACGAAGTACTTTGTGTGTAGATATCTGGACAGATACGGATGCATACAGAAAAGTAGAGAAAAAGAGGGAGAGAGAGAGAGAGAGAGAGGGGGAGAGTAACAAGAATTTCATAGAGTAGAGAAAGGCAAGCGATGGCCTGATTGAACTTCAGAACTTTGCACACTTTTACCATTCGGGTTTCAGCTTGTGCCAGGCTAGCTGAGCATCTTATTGTTGCCAAACTATTGCAAAAGAAAACGGCAATATTTATTTTAACTGGCAGCTACAACCTTGAGTGACCTACAGTTCACAAATATCTCTCACTTTCCAAATTTCAGTAAGTTCAAACTACCATGAATGACTTTCCGACGCGCACTATGGGTAAGGAGAGATCATATATCTTTCTCGCAGAAAGTACCATCCTCGAGTGAAGTTTCAAAAAAACTCAGAGTATTAAAATGAAAGAAAACAGAACTTTTCTGGGAGCCGTTTTCAGACAAGAACTTCCTTGTGCTATTTTGCAATGTTTGCACATCTCGCGCCACGTTTTTCAAGCTCGTTCGTCCTTCGTCGTCAGACGCCTGGGGTCGAGTGACCAAAACCAAACAGCTGGTGCCGGCCAACACCATTATCATTCTGTTTTGGATCTCTTTTACTTGAGCTGTGGTGTTCTTAATTCTTAGTTTCTTCACTCATCTCAAGCATAGTATGCTGAACAGTTCACAACTCTACTTCGAAAAAATACAGGGAGCAGACGATCAGTTGGAAGAGGTAGAGAAAAAAGACGTACCTGATTGTTCGATAACGAAGAGGTGAACGATTGATGGTCGTCAATAATGGATAAACCAGAGCCTGTGCCATCTCTGCACACGTTCTTCAGTCGACGGTTCAGAAAAATTAGACGAATAACTTCCAATTGTTAAGTTGTCTGCAATTAATTGCACAGATTAGCTCTCTTGAAACAATTTGAAACTTTAAACGGCACATGATATCAACAGAAATATAAGTAAATACCATTATATCTTTGGAGACGATAAGAAACTCGAAATATGGTGGAGTTCGGTGCCGGCCTGTTCCAAAGCTTGATAAAGCAAATGATATCTTTGGCGTACTTTCAGACAAATTTCATGAGTTTTTTCCATATCTAGTTTGTATGAACTGTCTCCAGAAAATTGGCTTCATCTCCGCTTTCTCTTTCTCTCTCTCCAAACTTTTTGCTGCCGAGGAGAAAAAAACGGTAAAAGGGGAATAATAATAAAATAATCATAAGCAGTTTTAATGAAAACGAGATCAAAAAACTATAGAAGCAGTTAATTAGCCAAACAAAACGATGAACGTTGTAAGGACTGACCAATGATAAAGCGCTTCTTTTGGTTGAGAGAAGTTATGTGTGCTTATAACACAACTCGTGAAAGCTCTTAAGATTCTTCGAGAACGATCAGTTGCAAGTTACGTGGTCACAACGAATATCCTGTGACTTCGAATTTACCGTAAATGGTAAACATGGAACAGACAACGTCATTTTGTTCTTCTGAATTTACACAATAGTAACTGTAATACAATTCACAAGACCCGGTGGTCAAAAACTGTCAACCTGTTTGAAGTGACCTATGACTCAGCTTAGGAGGAACACTCGTCTCTTTTAGAATAATTTCATAAACAATTTCCCAAAAGAGTTATCTTCAGACGAACGTATACTTTCCCTCTTAAAACCATTCTCTTACAAACCGTTAGCCATTCCTTCAATTTTTAATGAACAAATATTTTAAAAATGAGATAATAGCTGTCCGAACTTCTATACTTAAACTAATGCAAATAATCTTGTACCCACCGTGATTTGGGACCGTTTGACTAGCCGGAAGTAACTCACGGTCAACCAAATGTTTTCTACTTAGCGATGAAACCTCACATTACAAATACTGTTCTTTCTCTATTTTTCATGCTCTTTTCTCAGTCGGCTTTACGTGCTCTTTATCATCTTGATCTTTCTCGTCTTTCTATTCATTTTCACAGTCACCAATGCAATGTTTGTTTCTTCTCCCTCCGAAACCTGGTCCTCCAAAAAGTCAATGATCATACAAACTTGTTAGTCATTTAAAATCCTTATACGTCATACTTTATATTCCACTCAGGCTAGCAATTTCATTTTCACAATAAGTTTTAGAAGACTTTCAAGCTGTTAGTTGGCTGAACTGAGCTCCTTTGTCCAGGGTTCTTCGAAAATTTTCGCGTTTGTGTACTTAACACTACTTTCTTGTCAGGTAAAGTTTGAACTATAAGCTTCTCCGGTTTACATTGAGCCAGAAACTCTCTATAGGACACGGAAGTGAGACGCCAGGGTAGTTTCAGCGAGAAAAAATGCGCAAAGTAAAGAGGAATGAAGAAAAAATCGGAAGACAGCTTGCAAATAAATATTCGAAAGGCACTGTCTGCAGAGTGAATCCTGCTAGTGCCATGCTGCGAAATCTACTAAGCAAATCCAAAGTGCGATGTGTTTCCTTCCCAAACGCTCTCTTTTTCTACAGACACTACTCCCAAACTTCAGTAATAGCTCATTGATCTCAAAACCTCACTTCGGAAACAAACTTGAAGTTTGAATTTAAAAAAATATATAGTAGGAACCAACCAATATGAACTCCTGTATACAGTGTTGAACAACGGCCCAATGCCAAGCAGAAGAAAACCCTGTAAACCGAGATGAAACAATCATTTATTCTAAACCATAATCAAACCTCATGTAACAGTAGATTTTGGAAATGAACTTTAATATATACATTTCAGAAATCATTTCACTAAAGTTTCTTCAATCCAGTATAGACAAGGCTGGCTCAAACTTATGCTTTTCACTTTTTATTTTCAGTCGCAGTGAGCTGAAAAGCGGTTGATGACAGAAATTATACACTATTAGCGCATGTTTATATATGACTCGAAGTGAAACCTATGGTTCATTAACAGAGAGCACCAGGGGAAAACTTTAATGATTGAAATATATAGAAAATGCTAGCTAACACTCATGCGAAGCAAACATATTCCTTAGAACGAGATGAAATCTGTAAGGTGCGTATCACTCATTTTCCGGTCTGATAATTAGAATCTGGAATACAGGTACAGCCACCAAATATTTACTACCAGTAGAGCAAATGATAGAATATTGGCGAGTTACAAAACTGATCTAATACCCTAACATCTAATAAGCGTGTTCAAGACATGGGATAGCATTACATTCGATTCTAACTCTCAAATATTCTTATTATAAAATCATAAACTTTGCGAGCATGACACGTTTTAATGAGGGTTTGAAGTTCGCAGAAGTGTTCGATTTTGAACAAAATGAAGCTGAAAGGCCGTAAGAGAAGTTGGGGGAAAAACGGAATTGCTAGGAAAAAGTAGAAATCTGTTAACAACTAAATGAACGAGTAATTAATAAAATGAAGAATCGAGCAAATTATCCTTCCTTTCATTTTTTATTTTTGTTTCAAATCTGTTATGCCCTTTCGAAATCGGCTACTGTAAGTAGATGAGGGACATTGAAACAATTTTGGAAATTAATACAACTTAAAGAGCAAAAAATCAAAAGCACAACTAAAAAATAATATTGCGGTTACCCTCTATGATATGATTGGTCCGCGAACAGCTTTAAATGGCAAGAGACCTCAGAAAAGCATAGCAGCAACCTAGTAGCTTTTTTTTTTTATGGAAAACAATTGTTTCATATAACGCGAAGTGAAATGTTCAAAGCAGTTTTCGAATCATCCTTTAAACGGCAACAGCAAATACATAAACAACTGCAAGCATATTTTTAGTTTCCCAGCGGTGTTGATAAGTAACTGAAAATAGGAATGGGATGATTACTTATTCCAACTCAGAACAAACCATCAGTCATTTTGTTCCAATATGAAATTGTACTGACATTAAGACCCGATCCATTAGCAATTTGAAGTAACGAAGAAGTAACTGTAAACGTCATATGTCTTCACCTCAACTAGAACATACAACTTACCAATATATTTATATGGTTTTTGGTACTCAACTAATCGCTTAGTTATATTTTCAACAGCAGATTGATTCCAATTGGCACTCTCGCTGGGATTATAGGAATTTCCACCAATAACATCATCAAGTACCTAAGCGCTTTATTGAGCTTGAAAACTTTCAAATAATCACCTTTTTGATAATATTCTGAACCTCCTCAGCGGGAATATGCTTCTGATCAGCAGACATACCCGACCACGCTGCAGAGGACTTCTGATCAGTAGACATACCCAACCAACACAGCAGTCGACAAGAAACTGAAGCAAGAGAATAAGAAAAAAAAACACAGTAAAAGGTATGAATGATTCTCTTAACAAGTGTTAAAATACAAAGATTAAAGCTAAAATCATTTATGACTAGTATAATACTGTTTTCGGAATGTACAACTAAGACTGTAAAATATAGTGACGTTCGTTATTAATTTTAAGCTTCTGGCTCGTAGTCAGCATGCACAAGTAAGCCACTCATAGATTTGGCTAATTCATCAGTTCCAGTACAAAGAACTTTTCTCGACATGACATTGAATGGGCCACCTAGGAAGTAAAGTTCAACAAGGATTTACTCAAGAAAAGTTACCTGTAGGATCTATAACAACACCACCAGCTTCTAGCACAATCACAGCAGCTGCAGCAATATCCCAAGCATGCAACCCGTATTCAACATAACCATCACAACAGCCTTGAGCCACCATGATCATATTAATTGCAGCAGATCCAAAAGAACGATGTCTGCAAAACTCGGAATGAATCCTTGATATATGATTCAACAGATTTAAAATACCCATGGCAGTTACTTTTGATCATGAGTGATCTGTAAGACTCAATGTATGAACGCTCCATTTCATTATTTCGGAGCGAACCTAATTGTGTTAGAATCACACTCTCACAGACTTCTGAAACACCATGGACTTATAGGAGTTATAGGGAAGCCAGTGGTGTATCCAGCATTGAACCAAGTTATCGTGCTCATTTTTTCTTAGTAATTACTAACCCTCTAATACCAGCTTCGACTTGTCTTCGCATATTTCCTTGAGATACCTCAAGCCAAGCTTTCCCGAAATTTGTTATGTTGTGAATACCAAGTGATGCCGCTAATAATGATTGGCTCAATGCTGGATGAAATGGCGGCATGAACAATGCGAAAAAGCGTGATAAATACCTTTAGTATTCGAAACATGGATTGGCAAACCGTTTTTGAAAGCCCCCCGTCCAGCCTAAAAAACAAACTGATATTTATATCTCATGAATGATAAAAACCTGAGCATGGAACAGTTCCTTAGTGATCGGATTGTATACGATACCGGCTCTCAGTTCCTTTTTGATTGCGAGTCCAACACAAATGGCAATCATAGGAATCCTTAAGAATTAGACTTTAAAACAGCGACATGGAGTTATTGAACCTATGAACAAAGTTTGTAGTACCATCGATAGGGTCGATGATCCATGTCGGTGCATCAGTGTACTCAATCTTCATGCCGTCCGCTACAGATTCTTCTCCAATAAATCTGAAGAATGATAAAAGAATATGATTCAGTTATATTCACGATTTACTTATGATCTGGAAACTTCTTGCTGAGTGTACTGATAATTAATTTTTCAACGGCTTGATCGGTTTCGGTTACCAAATCAGTTGCAGAAGCTTTGGTTTGAACCACACTGGTTGGAGTGTCAAAAGCATCGCGTACAAGCTACAAAATAAAATCAGTAAGCACGCCAAAACTAACAGTCAACTAACCCGTCCAGCATCCTTGACAACTTCCAAGGCAGCTAAAAAATACTCATGTTCACGTGAATCTAACAAGCCTGTCATCCTAAAATAATATAGTTCACATTTTCGTAGAACAGAACACACATAGAAATATATAAAATTGTATAAGACGTAGAGACGAACACCTAATATTGATTTGTGCATTAGCAGTTCTTAGTAACCTCCTGCACATGAAAAGGAACAAATTGCTTAATAGCCCATAAATAAAATAAATTAGCTATATGAGAGAAATCAATAAATTTGAGCGAACTTCATAAATAAAGCACATCATTAAAAAAACTTCAACGTGCACTTCCAATAATTATAAGAACCGAATCGCTATTCATGCTATGAAATAGGTTAATTGAGAAAGGAGAATTATTGAAATTTGATATTAAAACACTACAGAACGCCGATGACACGCGATATGTAAACACAGTGCACGCTTAGCATCTTGTATTCACCACGTTATCATTCATATGAGTCAGAGATCTCGAGTTACGAAATTAAGTTGTAATCACACAAATCATAAAAACATTTAATATTATACAACTCATAATTCATTCTAAAATATTTCTACGTCCACTTCGCTAGGAGTAGGGGAGTATTGTGAGATATTCCATATGCTCTCAAATTCTCCGCAATCGTCGAAATCTTAAACCCAATCGTTCATAATATTATTAATGTTTATACCTCCATTCATAATTTCTACATCTATTTCACTAGGAAGAAGTTCATAGACTGATCCAGTCTCATATGCTGTTTCCAAATCTTAACTTTTATCAATGTATAAATATCAAAAGATAATGTTATCACCTTGATCAAGTTGGCTCATTTCTTCTTGCGTTTGATCTAAGTCTATAAGTTCAAAAACGTCGTTCTGTGTTGTGTCTAAGTTCAAACGAGTTGTTTTTTCTGATTCTGTCAGTTAGGTGATCATGGGATATCAGAATCTGTTCGCGAACCTGTCTCATCGACAATACCCGGCTGAAACGAGTAGCATGAGCAGTTATTTCTGTCATTCCAATCTTGGTCAATATCATTTTTCTCGATCATTGTTTCAAAAGAATCTAGAACGAACGTAATCCACAAAAAGTGTTATTAAGTTGAACATACGTAGGATCTTAACTTGTTCGCCACTCATTGCGGAGAACAACCGACTTCAAAAGAAAACAACAAATGAAATGAATTTTTCTAATTTACACGTTCCACGTGAAAATCACGTAAACATTACGTGAAAAATATATAATCTTCCCCTTCAATCCAATTCTTGGATGCAATCAGTTTCTCCAAATCTCCTCCAGTCATATCCAACTTCACACAAATGATAACAGGAGGTTGAACATTCCTGAAACTTTCAGAATCTCATAATTACTGTATGATCTCCTCACTCAATGGATAGTATAGGAATTTTATGAATAACAGTTCGAGTAACCTCATCATAATTTTCAAATACTCCTCTATTCAATTTTTTTATATCCACATCACAAAAAGCTACTACGTTATTTTTTTCCTCTGGGCGTAAGCTCCTAAAACATATTTCTATTGTAGAAATTGAACCATAACAAACTTGAAGAAATGCTTCCCTTGTTTACCAACACTCCAAATAGAAAACTTCTGCCATTTGAGGAGAACATTTTTCCTCAAATGTTCCAACCTTAGTTCCCATATAGAGTCTTCATGAACGCTGAAAGATTCGCAATCGCTATGGTAACGATAAACAACGAGCTCTTCATCGATCTGGATCAAAACAAAATTCAAAAAATGATCTCAAATTCAACCTTTCTATAAATCACATGTTTGCATGAAAACGTTTTGTAGAAAAAATCCAAGTCTTCAGGAAATCCTTTTTTGATATCATCTCGAAAACCTCCGACCTGGTCAAACAGCGTCCGTGACAAAAACCACGTTGGAGCAATCAAAGTAGGTCCATGTGACGTGTAAATCTGGAGAAATCTTAGTATGAACATCGACGAAAAAATTTAAAAGCTCAACCTGTCTATCAAGTAGCTCATTGGTTAAACTACAAGCCCAACGAGTGTATCGTACGGTAGAATGCTCAGGAGTTCGTCGGAAGCATGATCCTAAAGAGATACTGTTGGGAAGATCGGAAGATAAAAATTCCAGGTACCAAAGAAAACATTAGCATGTTCCGGAAAGCTCAGAGCATACTTTACAAGCGTACTCAAACGCTTTTCGTGAGACATATCATCTGCATCACAAAAGCATACATATTTTCCGCTGGAATGAGCAACAGCCTTGTTTTTGGCAAACCCAACACCTTCAAAAATCAAAGTAAAAATTTTCTAAGCGGGTTTCACAAGTACCTCCAGACACTTCACCTGAGTTAATGACTAATGGAACATTACGATCATTGAAGCTTTGTTCGAATTGTCTTATAATGGCCTCTGTGCTGTCTTCACTACCATCGTTGTAAATAGATATCTATCACGGGATACTAATTTCGTTTCATAAAGTTCTTTACCTCCCATGTTCCTTGGTAATCCTGTCTCAATAGTGAGTTCAGGCATTCTCCTATGAATTTTTCACCATTCTTTACTGGTATGATAACACTCTAGAAACTTTCGCAAATTATTAAATTGTAAAAAAAATCCCACCATTGTCACGCTCATCCTTATTCATGAATTTTATCTGCATATAGCTGTTGTTCTTGCAAGTACTCAATGTGAATTGTCCACATTGTGAATACAACATGGTCGTGCTCTAAAGCTAATCTCTGTACAGACCTTTACACATAATCTGACGTCAGTATGCTAAGCATACTATGAGTGACATCTTCGGCAAATACATTGTTTCTTATTCGTTTCATATAGTATTTCTAGTGATTTTAAACTTTGTTTTAGACAACATGGCTAAGAACATGGAAAATACCAGTTACCGGCGACTCAATGTGGATGAATTCGATCCGGAGAAGTACGATGAAAATGAAGAAGGTAGTTTTTGTAGTTTTTACCCATCCAACCTTTTTTTAAGGATCTCAAACACCAGGATTGGGACCTGATGAAAAAACAATTAATTCTATGCTTTCAACCAATAGATTCAATGATGCTTTGCATGCTGTACTTATGAATCCACCCTTGAAAACGGAAAATATGGTTAGCAGTTTATAAACCTAACAGATACTACTTAATCGTACAGGAGCAAAAGGAGAAGGCTGTACGCTTGGTGGCTAAAGTAGTAGGGAGTTTCAAATCTAGTGAAGTCGAGGCTGTCGTTAAGGTTTTCATAAAAGTTTCAGATTTCAAAATGTTTTTTCTTCCAGACATTAAATGATGATGAAGCCGACGTGTTGATGAAATACATTTTCAAAGCTATGGAAATCGTTCCAGATAGTGCACTCTGTCAAACTTTGTTAACTTGGCATGCTCAGGTTAGTTGGTTATTGTAGAGAAAAGCTTTCGAAATATTTCAGATGGTGTCTCGCTTCGGACTTGGTTCTATAATTCGAGTATTTTCCGATCGTAATCGCTTGTAATTGCTCAATTTTCTGTGATTTTGGTACATCAATTTACTTCGCTTTATAATTATTCTCATGTCATTTACTCTGTAATATAAATTATAAAATAACTTTCACATTTTTTCACACACATAAATCACATTAAAATAAATAAATTTGCAGTTAAAGAACACAGTCTGCCTCTTTATCCAAGAAAGACTTTAAAGCACTTGGTGATATTTGAGTAGTCATCAGGAAACTACAACCCATAAGAAGAAGAAGTAGAGCAACAGATATGCACATACATACAATGTATTGTGAGATGGACATTCCTATATCTAGCCAGCTTCCACTATCTTTTAACTGATGGAAAAAACACTGAAAAAGATATAATGGAAGAAGCTTATGTTGTTTTCTTACCATCGCCATTAAATCTGTAATTATAAGAACAAGACAGGATAATCTCTGTATTAACCTCCTATCGAACCGTAAGACAGAAGCAAAGACTAGAGTCACCATGAGTACCGGTATGATTAGTTTAATAATCAATAAAGAAGCCATTATGAACGGACTAAAAACACTGATAGATTAGACACATGAAACATGGTTTTACCTGAAGATGGTTACAAATCTGGTCAGCGAAGAAGGGTTAAAAGAATTCAAAGAGGCAAAATTTCCTGTTCCAAAGAGAGCTGCAAGAACGAAAGCTACGCAAACCACCGCTCTTCGCATCTCGTTCGGATGAACACGTCCATGAGCTGGAAAGTTGTGATGAGGATTTGAAGTTCAAAAATTTAACCTTTTGACATAGGCGGAGAATTCATGGCACTGATTCTTAAGAACTCTGAATCGTTCATGTGTTGGAATTCCATTCGTAGAAACAACAACAGAAGCGGCATGAAAAGAAGAGTGAAAGTCGATTCATAAGCTATTGATAGCATGCAATACGGCAAGTACAAAGAAACTAAAAGTTTGAAAATGATGTTTCAGTTTGAACATACAAGCATACCCAGATAGCAAATGACTCGCTGAGTGATAGTCAAATCCGAAAACAACGGAAATATAAAAGACGATGGTAAAGTAAGCCAAGAGAACAATCCCAGCAAATAATTCTGCTTTGTAAATGTAATCAACAATAAAAGTACAGCTTACGGTTTTAACAAGATAAGTGGTGAGGAAGATATGCAAAGAAGTGAAAAAACAAGCGGATACTAAATACCAACTCTCGCGGTAATTGGATTGCGAACTCTAAATGGAACTGAACAGATGAGAAAGTCAAGGGAGATCATCTACCTTCATAGATTTGAATAGGAGAAATCCTATAACAGCTGGAGTCGTTATGCAAAGAATAGGATATTCGTATTTTCCAACAGTTGCAAGAAACGGAAAAGGCATGAGAGAAACACAAGAGCATCTCCAAACTTTAGTCCTGAAAAGAAACTGAGAAAGGTTTTTGATGAAATACTCACCATTCCTTAATTACATCATTGGGTGTGTAAAGGTTGGGTAAGAAAATGAGCAGTAAGAATATAAAACTCAATAATCGACGATCCATGAATACCATGACGAAAATGAAGACAATGAAAACTGAAACAAGTGGTTAGGTATGCTAAACTTTCAGTATCTTACCCAAACTCAAACAGGCTATGAATGGACGAACCAAAAAATCGAAAGACATTGTTTGATAATTAGCAGGGACCTGTTTGATGAAATCAACTGTTTTACCAGTAATACCCGTCATGTTTTCGATCACAGAGAGGATAAGAAAAGGCAGTATTACATATACATAATTCGAAATGGGAAATCCACATAAGAAGCACATTCCACATGTTAACCCCATAGCGCTTATTATATACTTATTTGGTACCAACACTTTTTTACTCAATAAATTCAAATCTTGAGATCTGAAATCGAAAACAGTGAATTATTTTCAAATATATATATATCCAACCTAGTGAGGAAACACCAGACTAGAGTTATCCACAAAAGAAATGAAGTACTAATAGCGGCTCCGAGAAATCCGCGGTCATAACGATGATAATAATAAATAGCTTCTTTCATCAATGGAGCTTTATCAACAAACAGAGACGCAGCCATGGCATAACGACTTAAATTGAAAATGATAGGAAATTCAAAACATTCCTACCCGCTTTGTCCTAGTTTGAGCATCTCTTTCTCCAAAGATTGAAGAGAAACATCGCCAAATTCCGGAAAATCTTTGAAGAAAAACCTGTTAGCTTTAACACTTCGTAAAGTGAAAATCTGCTCTTTTAACTAAAAATGAAACATTAGAGACTGAAAATATAGAACGCTTACCTGTAAGAAGTTAGCCAAGCTGCATTGAAAAAGATATTTTGGAGAAACAGAGAGAACTTTTGTCGGGAGGATACCAACCGAATTAACGGGTATGGATACACCAATCAAACTTGACATCAGCGGAGCCAAATCTACTTGAGCTATGTTCACCCGAGCACCTCCATTCTTGATCCCTGCACCCCAAGCAACGAATGGAGTTAGAACCTTCAATATATTAATCATCGCAAAGGAAAGTTGATTCTTACTTCTTCATCGCTTCCAGCTCCGTGAGATCCCCAGTCAGTCATTCCATGATCTGATGTAAAAACGAATGCTGTTCTTTCATCATTGAAAATATGTGAAAAAAGAGAGTTTATTTTCGATATCCCTCTGTCCACCACTGAAAGAGTATATGGTCTGTTGATGGAATCATTTTAAAAAACCTTCAATGTTATGTTTATAACGTTCAGAGTGAGGTTTACTCCCATGACCATTGGTGTCCAGTCCTAGTAAATGAAGAAAAAACACTTTACGATCATCAGAAAGACCCGAAGACGTATCAATCGAAGATGATGTATTCAGATAACTCTTCAGAGCAGGAAGAATGATATAATTTGTATGAGATCGTACCGTAATCTTTTCAAACACCCACTCATCCAATTTATAAGCATTGGTCGATCCAAAATCTTCATCAGACTCAGCATATGAGAAAGAATGAACATGTGGTTTATCGTCGAAGAGCGAAACTATATCAGGACTTCCGAAAAGAAAAGCTTCTGCAGATCTAAAAAAGTCAGTAAGTCAAGTTTAACAAACAAAATGAGCAAACCTATTCAGAACACTGTCGAAAGGAACAGGATTTTTCTTCCATCCTTTTGCTACAGCACTGACATCTTCAGCGAAACCTGCGAAAATAGCTACATGACCTGGGCGAGACTCCGTAGGAACATGACTGACTGAAATACCAGAAACACCCTAAAACTGAAGCTTTTTTTGAGAACCACGGATTAACAAACTTTTCTTTCTCTAATGATAGAATGCAGAAAAGGCGACAGCTCAGGATTATGAGTGAAGGAGTCTAATCGAAGACCATCTAAATTGTTCCGATTGGACGGAAAGGTAACAGATGTAACAGACCTGCTGAAAAAACAACTAGTCTTTTGGCAGGTGCTTCTCCTTTGGTAATATCGTGTGCTTTAACATTCGTCACTATTGGGGAAGTATAATAAATATCGAATATGGAATAAACTAGGATTAGATGTATTGTGATTCCGAGAACTATGAGATGTCTAGACATCTTACTGTAACTGACCAATATAGGAGATCAAATATAAAATTAATAAAAACAAACCTAAAAATAGAACAAAAGTTTTAACTCATTGATTCGGAGAAAAGAAGTATACTAATATACTAAACAAAGCTTAGTGCTGGGCTATTTAGAGAGATTGTTAAGATGATTTAGCTTAAACCAGTTGCTTATAACGGATGGGAGAAATTATTGCGTACATATGTAGAAAAATAACCGAACCTACGTATCGGAGCTATTTATGGAAGGCCCATCGATTATTGTGGGGTTTGAGCAAAACTCTAACTAATAGAACCTTTCATTTCTCACAAAGTAAGTTTTCAAAAAATGATTCCAACCTTTCATTAAAGAAACTTTTAGAAAATTACATGAGTAATGATGCACCGATTGAAACTCGTAAGTTCAAGAACAAGAGGATTCGCTCTCAGCATCCTCTATCTGATTTCATCGGGAAGAAGAATCATGTAAGCCATCCCTTAGAAGAAAGGCCAATAGAGAATGAGAAAAAAAAAACTGTGAAACCAATTGCACGGATAAGTAAGAAGGATTCGACTATAAAAAAAGTATGTTCGCCTCCGTCTGAAACTTCATGTTGCCTTTACAGTTCATTAACGTTTTTGAAAAAAATGAAAACATTAATATTTGCTCAGAACCGGAGGAGTACGACGAAAAAGTTTTGAACTTATTGCGTGCCCTGAAGAGAAATTTTGATGTCAAGTATAAGAAAAACGAGAACAAAGCAAGAGCGCATCGTGTAATGGTCGCTGGAATTCATGAGACCGTGAAACATTTGAAGAACGATAGCATAAAAGTTATTTTTATTTCAAGAAATGTTGACGAATCAGTAAAAAATTGTAAGTTTCCGTGGTAGAAATCGAAAAATTAACTTCTTCAGGGTTTGGAAAGTCTAACTTCTTTGAAATGTATCACACTGCTATTCAAAAAGGAGTTCCTGTGATTCATTCGAATACGAAGAAACAAATGAGTACTGCTATCAAAAAGTTTCCTTATATCAACGTTATCGGGTTGATGGCATTCCCTGGCTATGAGGTAAACTTGTTGGAGCTTCAATACAAAACTGTTTGTTCAGTCGTTGTTTTCCGAGATCAACCAGGCTTGGAAAAACAGTCGTTCTCATGTCTTATATCACAAAGACCAAAGTTCTCTTCTTGCATAGTGTTCTGAAATAAACTATTTCATTATTTATTACACAGTTAAAAGAAAGGTTATCATGCCTTATTATTATTTTATCATATGTACATTATTTTCCGTTAGTTGGTGTTCGTGTTGTGGTTAGCCTTCTCTTACTTGTAGTTTTGTTGAATCGTATGAGGACTCTCTTATTCAGTCGTCTCATATTCACAGGCTTTACTTTGGGTTCTCAGTCCTGTACTGTTCGGTCCATTTTTTCGGGAAACATGCCTATTCCTCCAATCATCGTTTCTGCCAAAAATGAACACAAAGCTTCGGTTCGTTTCAATTATTTCTTCCTATGATGAAATATATTAAGGTTATCTTTTTACATGGTCTTGGAGATCAAGGAGATGGTTGGGCCGACACATTCCGCTCTGAACTAAAATGCAATCGAAACGTTCGCTTCATTTGTCCTAACAGGTACAACTTTCCGTTCCAGTTCGTTCAGTTAACGTTTGTTTAGTGATTCACGACCCGTTACGTTGAATATGGGAATGAGCATGCCAGCTTGGTTTGACCTGAAAGGTCTCGATCCTACCGCCGCGGAAGATGATGAAGGAATTGCTGCCGCAACTAAGCTTGTTCATGCTCTGATCAACAGCGAGGTACAATTTTTGGAGAGAAAATTAGTTCTATTCTTCAAATAGATTGAGAAAGGAGTACCATCGGAAAAAATCATTCTTGGTGGTTTCTCTATGGGTGGTGCCTTAGCCTTGTATGCTGGACTGACTTATCCTCGTAAGCTTGCTGGAATTGTTGGCCTCAGCTCTTTCTTGATTCAAAGAACTAAACTGCCTGGAGTATGAAACTAACACCTCTCCTCGAAAGAATTTGTCCTGTTTCAGAATTCTGTTGCGAATAAAGACACACCTATTTTCATGGGACATGGAAGCGCAGATTTTTTGGTTCCTCTGACTTATGGTCAACTTTCCGAAACTTTGTTGAAAGCATTCAACTCAAATGTTACCTTGAAAGTTTATAATGGAATGGCTCATAGCAGCTGTAACGAGGTAATATTGGAAATGATAAAGAAGATTAATTAACGAACTTGCAGGAGCTGAATGATCTGGACAATTTCATTCGAAGCAGTGCTAAGATATGACTAGATGAGAGGCTTGACCGCAAGTGCTGTTTACTGTAGACCTGTTTCATTTTTAAATATATTGAAATACCATTGAATTTGATCACAAGTTTCAAACGTTTTGAATAAATTTCTCAGTTTCTACAATTAAATTTTCTATTTGCTTTTGAAACAAAACATATGTGACACGTTGCAGCACATGAATGTTTGTTCAACGGTAGCTCATTGACAGATTAACTAATAGAAATTAATTTTATATTTCTATCGGCTCAAATGGTGAAGTTCTGCTATCTCTTAATGCTCATACTTGCAAGTTCAGAAGAATGCAGCGCACCTATCAGGATGTGCTCGATTTCTGAGCATTATATTATACGGCTGCTTCATGTTGATTATGGTTAAAGCACTACTGTTGGTTTACTCACCACCCTTTTAATAGACAAGACATCTGTTCAGATTCATCAAAGTTCAGCAAGAAGAGCATGTGAACCGTTTCATTATAGATGACATCAGCCCCTATACTCTGAAGCCTGTTTTCGACATTAAGAATATCACTGGATTCTTGATTGATGAAGTTAATCTGAACTGTGATGGAATTAAGCAGAAATCACCCGAGTTAGAGCCCTTTCACATAACTTAGATATTAACTGTCTTCAGTGCTATGGCTAATGCCACAGCCTTCTCTTATCCATACAAGGCTTTGGAACAACAAATATTTGATTCTAAAGATCAGTCAGTTTTTAAACTGAAAATTACAGTCTTACCTTTTTCCCCAGATGTGGTTTGATAAAACAACTGTTCGAATTTCGAGAAAAGCCGTTGTCTAAAGAAGAAGAAGAATTTCCATTAGCCTACGGGATTTTAGTATTCCGCCGTCCATCACAGGTTGTTCCCAAATTACAGATCAACGACTTGCCTTTAAGGTTTTATTTCAAATGAGCGCTTTCTATGAGCCTCAGAACGAGTACTGTCTTGCTGTGAGCGCGAATGCTAAACCAAGGTTCAAGACAGTTATGAAAAGCTTAGGAGACTGTTTCCCTAATATTCACGTTCTGGTACATCTGCTTACAGTTGAATGCTAACCCATTTTTCTTAGGACCGCCCAGTGATTCATTGGGGTAAATTTGAAATTATAAATTCTACATATGCTTGCATGGAAGAAGTTTATAGAAAAGCAAAGCGTCCGTGGAAATATTTCCAGGTACGTATAGAAACGAATACCATCAAACAAGTTCTATTCATAGTACCTGGCTGGCGTTGACGCTCCATTGAAATCGAATTATGAAATGGTTCAAATATTCAAAGCTTTAAACGGCACTGTCAACACGGAGATAAAGTACTTTCAACCAGCCAGACTCTTAGAAAAGAAGGTATAAAAAACCAAGCTTTCCCAGCTGCGCATTTGTTGTAGATTGAGGATGCTCCAATCAAGTTGTGGAAATCATCTTTATCGGCCCTTATCCCTTATGAGGCAGCTAAAACTATCGTTGAAAGTTCATTATCTCGAAAAGTTTTGAATTTCATAGATGGGACGTATGTACCTGATGAAAGCTTCTGGGGTAGTATGACTGGTAATCCAGGAAGTAAGTTGTCAAGTTGCTACTCTCAAGTATCCAACAGGACACTCCTAGTACGCAATATACGTAAGATGGATATTGTTTTAACAACCGGAAAAAGTACCATACCCTTTGAAATATACTTTCAAAACAAACGTTTCATGGTTGTATATGTCAAAAGCCTTTCGGGAAATTTTCCAAAGCAATTCATACTTTATGCAAATTTATAAAACAAGTTAACATAGAGGTTAGCGTGTAATGCGAAAGAACCGAAGAACGCTCAGTTTGACAGAAAAAGCGATAATGTTTTCCAGTTTTCCCCGTAGCTGGAAGTGTCAACTCTTCAGGATGGTTACGGTTTTTAACGAGAAGGAAGACATATCTGAAAAAAGTGCGAAACGAAACAGAAGCAGAGGTAGATACCATGCCTCATAATGAAGCTTCCGATTGATTTTTTAGGGAAGAATGCGATCTTATCTATCCCGGTATCAAATTTGGAATGAAAATTGTGAAGGTATTAGTGTTGAGAGTTCATAATACACAGTGGAATTTTTGCATAGGAAAGCTTGTATCTGGATCTTGTGTATTCGGTTCAGCTCACTTGGGTCGACTATTAACTCAGCCGCAACTGGTTGCTCACAAGTTTAACATAGAGTATCAGCCTGCAGTTTATTTTTGTGTTCTGAAGGTCAGTTAATAAAAACAATCGAATGAATAACAATTGTATTTGTTTGAAGGAAATACGTAATCGATCACTCAAAGCCATAAGTACAGTGGATGTGAAGAAATACCAGCAGATTCCTCAAGTTGAGTTGCAGAATGGAGTAGCTTTTGAGAATTTAACTCATCCAGAATGGATGCTTTAATAGGAATATGTGCATTACTACGGGTTGATTTCAAAAATCGAGAAGTTCTATGATTTGTGCTGGTTAAATAAAATCTTTTCTTGAAGTTTTAAAAGAAATATCATTTTACATCGGACACTTGTAATCCAAGCCAACGGCAAATCTTTAAAAGCGTTCGCCACACCTGTAAACCTGAATGTAGATTTCAGAGCAATATGTCTGTGATTTTTGATAAGTTTTAATGCTGTTTTTATGATTTGCAAATAAGGTGAGCATCGTTTTAACAGTTTTATCAGCAGCCTTTCAACTATCACTCTAGAACAGGGAGGAGAATTAAAATGAGAGCAGAGAAGCGGTAATGTATGTTGCAGTACAGGGTTGTGAAGTACTATGACAACTCATGCGTTTGCTTCTCAATGCTTTCCTGTCGCAGTGACTGAACGTTTGTGCGGGTTTTTTTTTCTTAATAAAGCCATGTGTTAGTTGTTTAGTTTTTGGACTCATCGTTTACAATTGTTTCTAAAATCTTTTGTTTCTTTTATATACAAATAATAGTTTACATTTAATTCAATTTGTTGAAGTAGTTATCTTGCTTTCCAGAGCTCTTCCTTCAACTTATGCAAATATTTGCCGAATTTGTCAGTTTTATCACTTTCTCATAAATGTTGTAGGAAAAAAATTAGGAACAGCTGTAGTATAGAGGAGGAGAATCTGTTAATCCTCAATAACAAGCAGAAGAAGAAGAAGAAGAAGTATGTTAAGAACGAAGAACAGATATGTTGTTCGGGTAAATCAAACACTTTTTGTTTTTTTTATTAATTTTTCTCATATTTCTAGGTTTCGAAGACTAAAGGAGGAGTATTCCTTTCTAAACTATGTATTTTTACTTTATATTTTACTGTTTTCTTAGCAATTTATCTAATATTCTTTCCTGTCATGAGGTTTGTTGGCTTCACCCGTGCCATCCAATCACTCGCTCCCCTGCAGGAAAGCTTATGATGGTTTCGATCTTGAAGAGAACTTGAAACGTTTCTCTTCCAATAATAATAAAAAAGAAGAAGCAAAATATCTCATAGATAACTTAAATTTGGATTGTAGTTCCCTTAAAAACAAAAACTTCACTCATAACTCAACGTAAGTCTCTCTAGATAAACGTTAAGGATCAGTTTCACACAGATTGATGTTGGAATATGAAACTTGGACATTCAGTACTGATTCAGTCATCAAGAGCATCCTAGATTCATCAAAGAAGTATTCATATTAATCATTCTGACAGTGCAACTATCACAAACAATTCAGATGCAACACAATCAAAAGCTTATTTCCTTTCCCGACTGTGCCTAAGTCGAAAGAAGAAAAAGATTTCCCATTAGCTTATGGAATTATAGTTTATTATAACTTTGTTCAGGTTTTGATTGAATTTATTCATTAATTACTCTGCATATTAGTTTTTATTTATGCTCAGCTCTATCTATGAGCCTCAGAACCACTACTGTGTGGCTGTTAGCGGGTCTGCTACTAGAGAATTCAAGATGTTAGCACAAATTACTTCCGAATGTTTTCATAACGTGCATGTCTTAGTCAGTGTTCATTTTCATTTTCTCTTGTCATTTGTTATGACTCGTTACCTTTCAGATACGCCCACCTATCTTCTGGGGAAGCTTTGAAATCATCAACTCAACATACACTTGCATGGAAATGCTGACAAAACAGTCTCATTGGAAGTACTTTCAGGTATCTTGATCTTCAGAATAATTCTGAATGGATTTTGCAGTACTTGTCAGGCGTCGATGCTCCTCTAAAAACCAATAGAGAAATGGTTCGAATTTTCAAACAAATGAATGAGTCAGCGAACGTCGAGTTCTTGAAATACCCTTATTCGCGTTTGAGAGGCAAAAAAGTTAGTTGAAGAATACATTAAGGCACTCAGAGAAGTTTACAGATGGCAGACAGCCCCGTTCCAATAGTAAAGTCTTCCTTATCAGCTCTCGTACCTCGAGAAGCAGCTGATTACATGATTCAATCTAACGTCACAAGACAGTTACTGAGATTCTTAAAAGGAACTGGGATTCCTGACGAAAGTTTTTGGGGAACAGTTTTTGGAAACGTTGATGGTTTTAATGAAAAACAATCAAAGTGAACATTTCTTTTATAGTTTTTCCTGTACCAGGTGCTATCAATAGCACGCAGTTCCTACTAGAACAAGCAAAAATTAAAAGGTCATCTATTGACCGTCAGGCGAAAGTGAGTTCTCATGTCAAATGAGATAAACAATCAAATTAAGGTTTATATGACATATTACTTGTCTCGTTATCAAGTTTGGAAAAAAACCAAATTCTGCCAAGGAAAGTTATCGTCTGGATCATGTGTATATGGACCACGGGATTTTAGTCACCTTGTCTCTCGACCGCATCTGATTGCTCACAAGTTTTATACAAACTTTCAACCTGCCGGATATTTCTGCGTGCTGAAGGTTTTTCACCTGTTTTCCTTTTCTTATCTTCAAAAGCACCATTCTATAGGAAATACGACATCGATCTATTCGTGGCATAACAGCATTCGAAGAATATACATATAATAAGACACCTTTAGTTGAAGTTAAGTCAGGAAAAGAATATGAAAACTTATCACATAAACTTTGGTTGACTGCTTGATGAAATTCTGTCATATCACATGCTCACATCTGCACTGTATACTTTGTATGTACATATATAGTATTGCACTTTCAAATTCCTCAGATGTAGTTTGTTTTGTTTACTATAAGTCGCGTGTTTGTCTTTCACAAGATTTTTTTGCATAAATCTGTTCTTCCTCTCATCACTTCTCCTATTGGCTATCCTACTGTTCACTCTAGAAAGGTTTCACATAGAATCTTCCGATTTTTTGAAGGTTTTTTTTCGGTATTGCACACAAAAATACATGTGATGCATAACAAACCTGAAAGAACATCTGTCCTGTTCAAACCGAAAGGAAATGTAATGTGTCTTGTACTTTTGGTCATCAACCGTTACATCTTCTTACCTCATTCAAATTTTTGTTCTCCACTTCGCAGCAGGAGGTTATTCAGATATTCAGACGTAAAACATCATATTGGCTCTTTTTGAGGTCAGAAAATGAAAAATTTATCGTATTTCTTGCGGAACCGCTTTGTATGAACTTAAAAAACACATGACAAGCCATCAATGAAGATATTAGCATACGCTATACAGCTAAAAGATTAATTACAATCTGTCGGAAGTTCTGCTTATGTTATTAAGATGTTTTTTCTTACATGAATAACGGAATGGAAGCAAAAAATCGGCGATGACCCGTTGACGAGAATGATGGTGAAGGGAGGAAGCGAAAAGCTTGAAAATAAGCATAAAGCTGTTAAATCATAATATTATCGGTTGCATGTAGAGACCCAACGATGCTGCACACAATCCTTACAAACCAAGTTACAACACCAAACAAACTTACACTCGCATTTGTGATGAATTGTTTCATGGCTTATCTGGAAAGAATTAATTCAGAGGACTCTCTGCATAACATAGTCTTTACACTGAATCCTCGTCCACAACATAATCTGCTGCAGTCTCCTTGACTGTGGGTTTCGTTCCTCCACGCACAAACTCTCGGAACTACAGTTTTTTTCAAGCAATGGTTAGGTGATGATTCGAGATATTGCAAATCCGAGTTCTTTGTCTCTTTGCCACGAGAGTATAACGACGCTCGCGCATATCTTAAGTAAAATGTTAGAAATGACCATTTGTCGTCAAAAAGCGTTAATAAAGAAATTCAGAAAACCCCGTAAGATGAAGACGTTTGAAATGTGATTTTGAAGTAGTTTTACTGCTTACTTGTTGACGAGATAATCAGTGATATGTTCCAGGTTTGCTGTTTTCTTCCAACACGTTTTTTGCTGGCAGGAACCAGATACTCCGTGGCATTTACATGAGGCTATTAAGGTTTTCTTGACAGCCTTAAAACTATCTTAAAAACCTGAGAGAATTTTCTTTTTCGAGAGTATTGATCGGAAATAATTCCTTACAATGCGAGTTTGAAGAAAAAATTAAAATATTGGTAAACTATTGAAACAAAGAGATATGGGATACGATATGATAAAAAGGGAATTTGGATTCAAATGAGAAACAAACAAAACGAACCAGTCGCCCGGCCTTCAGGTTATGTTTCTCAACGATCCTCAAAGGGCTACTGGATACGGTAGATTTAGTTAACAATTTCCGGCTCATGGTAACTCCGTGTTGAACACCAAAAGAACAGCTGAAACATGATTCAACTATGCGTGATGACTAAGAGGATACCCTCCATATTCCCAGCCCGCTTGTTCACTTGAAGACGATTGTGGTGGTGAACAAGCACAATCAGCAATCCATCCTTGTGCACAAGCCGTTGCGATTCCCCACGCCGTGCCTGCTGATGATAATGCCCATATTAATGCTGATTCACGATATCCTAGACAGTTTATATACAATATTGAACAATCGTGGAAAAAAACGAACCTTTTCGAAGAATAGGAGGATCATGCATTATGTTTCCGGCATCGGCACAGTCCCATGGTTGGAATCTGAACAAAATGTAAAAGTACGATACTGTATCGAATAGTCAAACCTCATTCGTTCTCTACATTGATTCAGAACGTCTTCAACTCCTTCAAAAGCTGCAACAACCGTTGAAGGCTGTTGTTGGCATGCGATTAAAACGGCTCGTAATGCTGTCGAATGAAGTAAATCAGCTGGACATCCCTATAGCAACTTCATTGATTCTCACAAAAATGGGAAATAAGGATTCCACATTTTTTTCTTGGCGAGGAAAGAAAAAAAAGTTTTATTTTTCGAGAAGAAAATTTTTAGTAAATTTCATCTTTTTCTCGGGGTTGTTGTAAATTCTTTGTGAGTCAGCGTAGTTTTCTACGATGAAAGAGAGTAAAATAGAGAAGAATAAAAGGTGGAATGATGGTTCAATCTGGGAATATTCTGTCTTTTAAGATTTGCGTATAGTTTTATGACAGATGTGACGCTCCTATATGGAGCAATTAAATGATAGTAAAAGGTGATGAAAAACAGGGACAGAAGTCTATTCATGGAAATAAACCAACGTGAAAGATGAAAAATTCCAAAAATAAAAGGAAATATCGTATTTTTTTCTTTCCTCTGTTTTATCAAAGGGAAATACAGAACGATTAGTTATATCATACCTGTGTTAATTTGAATGGGGGTTGGGAAGGTGCTGAAGGGTGAGATATGCAATCAGACAGATGAGTGAATGCCATCCATATAAAGATCAGAAAACACATCATTCTTTCATTAACGAAGTTAACACTGAAATTATGTTGTAAGAGCTTATCAATATTATGATTATTAGAAAAATGAATAGGCACAAATAGTTCGCCCTCCTCTTCGTCTGTCTGAGGATTGTAATGGAGATTCTCCTCCCACTTACGACCAACCTGTTTCTACTTCTCGTCTCTCAAATACCGTAATCTCTTGAATTCCGAATTCAACATGGGAATATCCAGAGAGCAAAAAACCGGAAATTATCTTGCTCATGAGAATTTCGGTCAATTACTAAAGTATTCAAATAACTCTTCCATAACGAAGGTGATGTTTTCGTATTGTACCTCAGAAAGGATTATTCAGTATCTCCTTTGGAACGGAAGTAATCTATGAGATTGTCTGTTATCCGTTTGGTTCACAGTGGCTGGCAAGTTTGAGTAATTTATATCATGAATTCTCTTGTTCGTGGCATCTTCGATAACTCCATTGACCACGTCAGATCGAAAAAAAGCAACCGATTCAGAAGCATAGCATATCAAAATTTAAATACTTTGTAATAATCCAAGTGATCAGTTCACACACACTAATCCATGTTCCGTGGTTATGCTCCACATGAACCAGTGAAGGGTAGAGCTGTTACACACACTAGTTCGAGATCTAGGATTCCTCATGTTAAAATTTCATCGCCAAACTGAAATAAAATATTGAAACAAAATTTTTTATAAAGTTTTCTTGACAGTCTTAAAACTATCTTGAAAATCTGAGAGAATCTTATTGTCTTGTTACTTTTTTTCACGAATATTGATCGGAAATGATTTCTTACAAGGCGAGTTTGAAGAAAAAATTAAAATATTGGTAAACTGTCCAAACAAAGAGATATCAGATACAATAATAAAAAGATATTAAGCGAATCTGGATTCAAATCAATTAATCCAGACGCTGAGGGTCTATAAAATTTAGAATTCTCAGTTTTCTGTTCCTCTGCAAATAGTTAAGTGCTTGCGCAAGACGAGACTTTTCTGAAATCTAGGTGAAGGGACCACGGGCTCGGAACTCCCTCTCTCTCTAGTAACCGTGAGTACTAGGTAACTGATCCTGCACAGTTAAAAGGAGCAGTTCGAAAGCAGGAACTTCGAATGACCCCGAAACGCACATTATAATGAAGCTAGCTTTTCACAAACAACCCCATAGTATGATGTTTCAAACAACTCTGAGATGGATGCAGACTATTACGTTCAATCAAGTATAACTCATACACTTCAGAAAAACAACTCGAAAACATGATAAAGCTGGTTGAAAAAAAATTCTGAGAAAATGATTAATGGTCGTGAATAATTTACTTGAAAACCA